CTACTCCGCGTACTAAAGTTGCACTACAAAGTCGCCAGTTCTCAGCTACCAGCTCCACAGATTTCTCCGCGTACTAAAGTTGTACTAGAAAGTCGCCAGTTCTCAGCTTCCAGCTCCACAGATTGCCTTCGCGCGCTCCACACGCACGATCTCCGCAGAGGGTTGCGCGCGGACCGCACCAATCGCACTCTCGCCTGCATTTCGCGCACTCGACACGCTCGATCTCCGCAGAGGGTTGCGCGGTAATTTTACAAATCGCACTCTCGCCTGCATTTCGCGCACTCGACACGCACGATCTCCGCAGAGGGTTGCGCGGGCACCCGGCAAATCGCACTCTCGCCTGCATTTCGCGCACTCGACACGCACGATCTCCGCAGAGGGTCGCGCGGGCACCCGGCACATCGCACTCTCGCCTGCATTTCGCGCACTCGACACACACGATCTCCGCAGAGGGTTGCGCGCGCAGCCGGCAAATCGCACTCTCGCCTGCATTTCGCGCACTCGACACGCACGATCTCCGCAGAGGGTTGCGCGCGGACCGGACAAATCGCACTCTCGCCTGCATTTCGCGCACTCGACACGCACGATCTCCGCAGAGGGTTGCGCGGGCAGCCGGCAAATCGCACTCTCGCCTGTATTTCGCGCACTCGACACGCACGATCTCCGCAGAGGGTTGCACTTTCGGTTGACGCTGTTCGTCCCGCCCTCCGCCTTTAAGACAGAACTTATAAAGTGGGGAAGTGTTTTTCATTAGGACATCTCCCGTGCTAGTTTTCCATACTCACACTTGCCTACTCATTGCATGCTTGCATGCTCAAAGCATGCTTGCGCACCCATCACTTGTATACTTACACTGCGTGCTTACCGCGTGTCAGTGTGTATGTGTAAGTGTCAATGTCGAAGTGTCAGTGTATGTAGTGCGACTGTAGTGGAAGTGTCAGTGTGTAAGCGTAAGTGTCGAAGTGTCAGTGTTCAAAGGATTTTCCGGAAGAACCCTTCGCAATGCTTTCGGGATAAAGGTCGCCTTTTCCTCCTTGAGACTTCCTGGAGTGCGGTCGCCGGACGGCGGACGGTTGGGGGATGCTGACTCAGGTCTTTGCCGCTTGGAAGGCCTTGGAGATGGCGAAGCCCCGAAGCTGCCGCTGGGATCGATTCCTTAGTTTATCATGTTTATTATCATATCAATTTTGCTGCCTTGGTTTAATGAGAAAACCTGAGATCGATCTGTTTTCTCATGTTTTCGAACTCCAATTTGGGATCCAAAAGGGTCTAAGACACAGCAACATGATCCGAATGCCATTTTGGTGGACAATGGTGGACCTCTAAACCAGTCAGTCGACCTGAATGGACTGGTTTAGACTGGTAGGCTTTTTGACTTTAGTCACTTGGGGATCTCTTCCCTGCCATCCAGTTATTTTTTGGTTAGCCCGCTCCCCCTCCTCCCTACCAGCGTCCTTGCTACTAGTAATTATGGCCTCCAACCTAAGAGCGATGGCCTCCAACCTAATAGCAATGTTTTTCTTTGTGTTTCCCGAACAACAACTGGAAGATTCCTCCAATTGATGCTCTGTTGTCCTCAGGTCATGTCCACTTGCGGCGCCGGAAGCAGTCGGGCACCTGGCCATCCGACGTCTCCTTGCCGCTGCGGCGGGCGTTGGCCACGCAGCTGGAGGAGACCTTCGGCTGGACGCCCGAAGTGGTGCGCAGCGAGGCGGAGATGGAGCTGCAGGCGGTGCGTTGGTCGGTGCCATCGGGGGGGGAGGGCGATGAGCGCACATGGAAGAGCACTTTTGATAGTTGGTGTAACGAAGCATGAAAGCAGCTCTTAAGATGCCGGTCGATGGTTCGATGATGGGCGGCCCAGAGCATTGTTCCGCTGATTTTGTTTCTCCAACAGTTCCCAGATCATTTTGGGAACTGTGGCATGGGAACCGAGGAAAAGGCCCACGTCACCAGAAGTTCAGCTGTCGTTTCAGACGCATGATATGACCTTCAACGGAGAGAGCTATGGTCCGGATCAGCTCATTATGCGACTGGAACAGGTTATAGTTTTGGTCACCAGGCGAGCCATCGTGAGCCAGCTTGGTCCGGCTCGGGAGGGGATGGGGACTGACCATGCGAAACATCAGGGTTTCAGGGTTGAGAGATTCTTTCCATCTCACATGAGGGCTTGTTCCATCGTTTTTTCACTTCGCATGGTGTAGCTTCGACCGTTCCTTTCCTTGGCTTCTTGACGTTACTAGCCGAACATCAAAGACCTAGTAGCGTCCTTGCTCCGATTCGATCGGGGAGTGTGGGCTAAGTTTCGATGCCAGAGGTCGTCTTGGGCGAGGACGGCCGGATCTTGGTGGAGATCCCCCTGCTGGTGCGGCACAGCGGAGCGTCGCAGCGGTGTTTTGACCAAGGGGTCTTGACCAAGGGGAGAACAGGGGAGAACACTGTATCATACTGTATCTGCTATGGGATTCCATGGGTCTGTTTTTCATGCCAAATTTACACCGGCTTCCACCAATGGATGTTGATCAAGGGTGCTTTTGGATCCCCTTTTGCCTCTGTGCAGTGTTTGACGGGCCCCAACCCAGGAGCCCTGATGGCAACTTTTGGGTTGCTGGTTGGTCCTCCTTGTTGAGGACATTCCACATAACAGCACCCATATTATGGAGATGCTATTATAATTTTAGTATATAGATGTTTTAACATCCTCAACCGTCAGCATTCTTTGGAGAACTACTTGCACTTAGCCTTTTCAGTGAGGATGTAGGTATTGAAGGCGTCAAAGAAGGCACCTGCGCACAGGACACACCATTCTGTGACCACCGTGTCCATACATTTGTAGATACATGCACAATTCATGGATTTTCAACACCGTACCCTCAAGACGTTTGGAAAGGAGTGATTAATAGTTATGAAACGTCCTTAAGAGGGTGAATTTGTCATGGACAACTGGTGATGGTGATGAGAGTTGCCAGGGATCCTTCGGCTCCTCAAAACCCATCCCAACATCTCCCAACCACTTCGATTCGCTCGACGCTCTGCAGGTGCAGACCCGAGGGTTGTCGGGTGGGCTGCCATTTCCGGGCATGAAGCAAGTTGAAGCCTGGGTGCTGGCCAAAGCATTGCAGCTGCAACCGGGGGAGGTGGCGGGATCGACGTTGTCGTGGAGATTTTGGGTTTCCGCGGATCAATTTTGGACTCGGTGATGGATTCGCGGATGGTTTCGGAGGTTCTGCAGACGATCGGGGGGGCGGATCGGTTTTGGGTTTGTTCAGGAAACACGGATTCAAAAGGATGTAGGAGATTTCCAGGATTAAATGATTCCACGTGAACGTTGTGTCTGTCAGAGCTGATTTATTTGGGACATGTAGCACTTGACATTCATTGACTGTGAAGCTTCCAGGTAGGCCAAGCCTCCACGTACGTCGCCACAGACACCACATACGTCGCGACCGGTGCGCTTGTCCCCTCGCCCGGACCAGGTGGTGCTGGATCCGATGTGTGGCAAAGGCACCTTGCTGTGTGAAGCAGCCATTTGGTGGCCTGAGGCCTCCTTTATTGGCTGTGATGCTTGGTCCAACCGGCAGGAACTGAACGGACAGGTTCGGCGACCGGGCATGGTGAGGCTTGGTGCGGCATGGTGATTTTCAAACGTGTTGCGACCGGGTGGTAGATGCCGGTCCAATACCTCCGGTCCAGGCTGCCGTTGGTGAATTCATTCCTACTACTAGCGTCGGAACGCTCCGTTCGTAGCGATGCCCTTTGTTACCAGTAGCTTCTTCTAGTGGCGAGATTGGCCATCCCAAGTCGTTGGTCTGGCGGGTCCCGCATTACATGGTTTTCGAAACCGTCGGTCAAGAGCCCCTGCTTAGGACGTTGAGGCGCAACAGCTGGAGAAATGCCTTGCCAACCATCGCTATCTGGGCCTGACAGAGCTTGTGGTGCATCAAGCGGATGCTGCAACATTAGGTACCCTGCTGGATGACTGTGGTATATACTGGGTCTTTTTGGTTTGACAAAGGTGTTTTTGGTTTGACATGGTACTCTTGGTTGGCTCGACGAACTCACAGTTGAAGTGACCACAGCAAGACACTCCAATCGTTTTCAGGTATGAATCCAATATGTACATATATATATATAATTCATTGCTTCGAACTTCGACAGCACAAAGGGCTGGGCGACCAGACTGGAAAAAACCCTTCTGGGCCAGTACTAAGGGTGTCGCAGTACATCCGTTTTTTTCCACATACTTCACCACTGCTAAGGTGCTTGGGGTACCGACCTTGCAGACTCCTTCTCATTGACCTGGACAAGGGATATAGACCTAGTTCCCAGGTCCTTGCTCATGGCAGCTATCGATACAAATGACTTCCCCAACGGCAGGCCGAAATGGCAGCCTTCGTAGAGGCCACTGGTTGAACATCTTGAAGCTGATGGACTTGGTTGCCAATGCTCCACCATGCTTCACCAAGCCATAGCTATAGCTCCACATGCAAACCGCTGAAAAACGGCCGTTTTCCAGGCGGTTTGCCCATCGCTGACTCCTCGGTGGACAAGCTGATGTGCGCTCCTCCCTGGGATCGACAATTTGAGGCAGCTGGAGGATTAGAGAACTTCTATCCCAAGATGCTGGAGGCTGGATCTGACCTGAGTTGGGATAGATTTTTTCATCCAAGATCGACTCCAAGATCGACTCCTCAGATCAGTTGGATGTGTTTGAAAACCCCAAATCACCTGGGAAAAAATTGCAACTCTGCCCTTCTGGGAGGTGTGACTACTACAGACCTGGCCATACGTCGCAATCATCTGGGTCCAGCTGCCGTTGGCGGCCCAAAACCCTTTGTTTGGCTTTGCTTTTGACTTAGAAAAGAACCATTAGAAGGAAAGACACAAACCACCCACCCACCACCCTTTGAATTAATGATATATTAAGTATTATACTGTAGCAAATGTATGCACATATTAACTAGCTGTCAGTTTTCCCTTTTATTTTTTTTTTTTTTTCGATTTCATGTCCTCATTCTTGTGCTCCTTTGTGCGGAAACAGTCAGCCGTTCATTGATTGACAGACTTTGGAAAGGCAGTCGTTGGACAAATGATGGGGAACCAAGGTGGAGAAGAATAGAAGACGTGCACCAGAACCAAATAAGCTACTGTATATAGTGTCGACGTAGGACTAATAGTAGGATTAATAAACGGGGACCCCCACCCCCTTCAAGGTCAACAAGGTCAACAAGGTCTGAGATCGGAGGTATTTGAGGACCACATCCCCTTAATAAAGATGATGAGCTGATGATGGATGATGAGATGATGACCTGGACCTGATGATGGATGATGGTTGATGGGATTCTGTGCCATGAGAAGCCATCAAAAGGATTGGTGAGCAGGATGAGGCGGCTGAGAGGTGGTGGTGAGAATCAGGAAGATGAGGAGATGCAGATCTTGAATTCTAGCAAAAAAGAACATAAAAACGCATTATAATTACAATAGTAAACTATATATTTTCTGGGGCAGCTGGGATTGATTAATAGGGGGAGGTTTCTGCCTAGGAAAAACACATTAGGGTGATGCCAAAGTAGAAATCTAGGTTTTACATGAGTTTAGTATTGGGGGGGTTGAGCTGGGATTGATTAATAGGGGGTGGTTACTTAATCCTATGTCAACATTGAACAGTACATTCATTTCCATTCGCTGGAAATGATCACGGTACCAAATGAGCCGTGTGCCGTTGCCCTCCTTCCGATCAGATGATCGATGCGTAAATGAAGGTGCTTGTGCAGCCCAACTTGCAAGAGAACAGTTCTGTCAACACTCAACCCACGATGCCATCGGCGCTGGACCCCTCTTCGAGCCACCCCTCACGTCCCGCCGAGTCCTCGCGGCGAGTTCTGGCGGGACCTCGCCAGGAGTTCTCGCGCGTGTTGCGGAGCAATGGCACCATGGCCTTCCTGCACCTGGGCAGAGAACGGGGGTTTCGGCTTGCTTGGAAAGAGCCGAGGTGGTTAGGTAGGTGCTGGTAGTCGTGTTCAAGCTGAGGATCCATAGGTTTCTCTAGTATCATGATAGGGGTCGTTTGTGTTGGTTATGTCGAAGGCTGCCATGATACACCATGATACACCTGGAAAATTCTGGTCCGCCTCAGGTTGAATTTGCCGGCAGAGGAGGCTCTGAAAGCTTCTCTGGCGGGCTGGCGGACATGTCGATGTCCCTTCGCTCTCACGCACCACACAGTGGGAGTGCTGCTGTTAGCCTGGAAGGTGTGGATCTTGCCGTGCGCGGCTCGCAGCGGTCGTGGAACGGGTTGGATGAGGTGACTGTCGATACGGGGGTGGAAGATGGGTGCGTTTGGACCATGGGATGCAAGGTGGGATCCATTTTGTTCGCCGGCTCAGATGCCCCACGCACCGAGGTTCACCGCTGTCAAATCCTCCAATCCATTCCAAATCCCATCCTTTCGCTGGGCTCTTCAGCGATCGGAGCCTCCCCGGAGAGGTTGGCGATCGGAGCCTCGACTGGTGCGGACCGCGCTCCGCGCGGTGCTCCCCGCCACGCCGTGCTTGGAAGACCTGGCGGGCGAAGGAGCGGCCACCCCTCAAGCGGTGGAGGAAAAAAGTGCTTCCCAGGAATGGAAGGCACATGGAAACACCGAGCGTTTTGGATGTTGCAGATGGAAAAGGGCCATGAATGAACAGGGTCATGAAGCATTTTCGCAAGCTCCCAGGTGTTGTGTGCTCCAATGGGGGGCAAGAGACTGGTGCTCATGTGTTCGAGTTCATGAGCCCCAAAGCACCAGCAACACTGTTGACACATGCTCTGTCCTTGTTGACGGCAGAACTGGCAATTTCGCTTGAGCCCAAAGTGGTCCATCTGAAGCAATGAACACATCATACCTTGTCAGAGGTGTACAGACCTAGAACATCCTAGAACCCAGACATGACCCCTGTCTTGAAAGAATGAACACCATCCAGAGACTCTTGTTGATCCCAGTCACTCGGTTCCTCGGGCGGATTCCTCCCGAGGTGCTTAGGCCGAGGAACGCGGCCTGCGACGGCGACCCAAAGCGGACGGGCGGAAGAAAAAGGAAGCGGGAAGCGACGGAGGTCGGGTGTCGTGACGCGGCGTTGTCATGGAGCGAAAGCTCGGGCAAATGAGCTTTACATCTAGGTGTGTGTGGTATATAAGGTGCCAAAGGATGATCAGGAGACCGGGATTTGTCTGGAAGATCCATTTCTGTTCCTCGAAAAACCTGATGCCCATGATTCCCTTTTTCCTCTCGGAAACCGAGAGATGGGCCATGATGGGACAGGATATTCACACATTTGCATGGATCGAGGCATGCAAATGGGGTAGTTCTGGATGCCCCGATGCGCACCCCGAGGCCGGCACGTTTGAACCTGCGGCCTAAGCCTCATGTGCTGTCAGGCACGATTGTTTGAACCAGCGCTCAAGGGTCCTAACATATTTATATATAATATATAGTGTTTGGTTTCAATTTCCATTTCCAGTCATGCTCAGTACGGTTCGGTAGTCTTGGGTTCTTCAGGCAAACATCTTGGGTGGGGCAATTTGTCTGGAATCTTGGCAGCTATTGAAACAACAACTCTAAAGCATGAGTACCCTCCCACAAACTAACATGGAAGCTGAGAATGGACCGGTGGAACACCATGTTTCTCTGCAACCCGACGTGGTTTTGGGGTTCCATGTGAATCTGCGGGGGAGTAGCTGTGTCATCTAAATGTGGGGTTCTTTTCATGACCACCTAAGGCGAACCGTTGCCGACGCGGTCGTTGGTGACCTCTTCGCAGGTTGGATTTTACAGGTCCCCAGGTAGATAGAAACACCTTGCGTTCGACGGTTTGTTTTGAAAGACACATGCTTCTAACGGTCTATGTTGGTGTAATGGAAGCGGTTTGCTGTGCTGCTTAGAGTTCGTTTTTAGTACCACGGCCATTGTGGCCTGCCTAACACCTGCCAAAGACTGCCGCGCAGGCAGAGCCTGAAAAGGCCAGGTCCGCCAGCAGGCGATCATCGCTGGGAACAGCTTGTCCTGCCCGGTCAGTTGCTTAGTAGGACCAGAAAGAGTGCTTTTGATGTTGTCCTGTCTCCAAAGTGCCTAAAGCGCCCATATATATATATATATGTATATGGATCTATTCAGAAAGTTGCTTTTTCTCAATCAGAGTAACCGTTTCGGAGCAGTCAATTGTCAAAGGGATGGGGATACATTCCAGGACAAGACAGGATTTGGAGGCAGAATACAAGAGGCTCAATTAGATCGCATTGTAACGGCTCAAATCTATGTAGTAGTTTCCTTGGGCGCTGGCTTAAAAAGTTAGATTCGACAGCCTGGTGTGCAATCTTCCTCCATATTCCTCCTTTTCATGAGCTTGAATTTGAATGTACTGTACACTTTCTTGGACATTCCTCCAGCAGGCAGAGGACTCAGATTCGGGTTCTATCTGGTTTCGGCAGGACTGAAAACGCTTGAATGCAAATAACTTGCCCTAATCTTCGCATAGGTGAGAGAAAGGATTATGGCATATCATAGCGCTAAGGTTCTGTGGAAAAAGCATCACTTTCCATATGACTGGCATCACCTCCCAATGCCCACCAGCTTCCCAAAGTGCTTCGGACCTGTTTGGGGTTTGGTGTCGGACCTGTGGACTCCCCAGGGGTAAGGCCCAAGGATTCCTTCGGGTTGAAGATTTGTTGCACCGGTTTCGTGCACCCAGCAGGGTCCAGGGTCAGCCTCTCCGATTCTATGGGACCCGGTGTTTCTTTCGTGTTCACCGCGACAAAGCGCGCCGGAGCTGAAGACCAGCGCAGTTGGGGAGAGCAGGCCATAGTCCTAGAAACAATGTGAAGCAAGGCACGGGTTGGGGTTGAGAGGACATTTCTGGCGTGCATTCCTTTGTTTTTATTTGGCAGAAGAGTCTTTCCTAAACGAGCCCATATACTTGCTTACCAAGAACCACTGCCTTCTGCGGTGTGTTGAGGACTTCACCAGTCGGCCCACTGATTCACCTGCCTTCTGGCAGGCTCTGCAGCTTCGCTGCGCAAAAAAAGGGAGATGAACAGCGTCTCCGGAAAAAAGAACAGCGTGATGGGAGGCAGCGAACGAAAGAGAGCAAGGTGTACCGGATCCAATCGGATCCAATTGGTTTTCCAGGGTCTTCCAGCGGGTTTTGCCTGGCATGCCTGGTCCCCTGTGGGACCGGACGTTGTTCCGTTGTTCGGAAGTAAAACGACCAAAGACACGAACGGGTTGAAAACTGGGAGACGTTGCTCGAACGGCGTGATGCAGGGAACCCAGATTCCGCGGCGCAGGGTCCTTGCTGCTTCTTCTGGCCGATTCGGAACAGCATGTGGAAAAATGGTGTTTCTATGTCCATACTCTTCCACGCTTTTTGTCAGGCATGTTCTGCTAGAAACAACTAGCATGACGAGTTCATGTCCTGCTTTTTTTTCCAGGCGACTTTTTCTCCGTTCAGTCTCCCGTTCCCACGCTGTCAATGTCCGCGACCTTTGTGGCTCAGCGTTTGGAACGAACGCCGATGAAGAGCGAGGCGGATCCCTGGGCTGCAAGTAGAACATGCCGCCAAAAGCCAAGAAAGTGCAGATTCTGTCTCAACAACTCTCAGTGATGTTTGTACGAATATTATTCTCAACCAGATCCTGCGCAACAAGCAGTCGAACAATCTGAATCTGTATGATAATTGATCTCAGGATGTTTGCTGTTAGATGCGTCTGGCATCAAGCCGGACTGTCATCACAACCAGTACGCACAAAGACTTTCTTTTTCTGGTTGATCTACTGTAGATTGCAGCCCATGTTGGCTACCCATGGTTGAAGAAGCATGGAAACTGAATGGGATTGGCAGAGAAGGAAGGTAAGTCATTTTCCTTTATCATGGCCTGCTCTACCACCATTCTGGGCAGAGTAGGAGCTGCAACACTGTTGAGAGAGCCCACACGCCCAAGGATAAGGCTCAACAATCCAGTCACAGTGTGCGCCCCGCCAAAAAACAAGACCATTCAGCCACCACCAGAGGCTCTTGGGGCCTTGACTTAATCACTTCTTCGGAAAACGACCGGGTCTCCCCTCTGATTCGTCAGCTGCTCCATGGCTCTCATCTGCTCTCCGCTCTCGCCAGGCCCGGAAATATGGCAGCTGGGGCAAGGGCCCTGATGTGCCACCTCCGCCAAGGGTGGAGTTGTTGGCCCGGGTGCCCGGCCGTTGCACGCCGCGTGGCCGTTCGTGGCCGGTCAGGTGCGATGTTTCTGTTCGGCAGTGCCACACAGCAGGGGCACAAGGTGCCTCGGGTGGTTCGAATGAGCCCAAATTCCAAGTGAATTCCCAGAACAACCAGCTGTTCAGGTGAACTTCAGCATTTCAGGACCAGCTGCTTGGTCCGTGACTGAGGTTGAGCCCGCCAACACAATCTTCTTGAGGAAGATCAAGTGGGAGGCGTGGGTTTTGGAGGGATTTTGGAGGGGTTTTGAGAGGAAGGTCCGATTCGAGGACGGACTCCGGACACAACTAAAATCTCGGAGCATGATTCTGGTGGTGATTCGAGCGACTCCGCTGGGGCAGAGTCATGTCTTTTTTGGGGAGGGGGATTGGTGTCTGAAAAGGGGACGGGGGGTGCCAACTCTAGGGTCGGTGGTTCAAGACTGTTCACCTCGGGATGCCACCGGGGGATCACACACACAGCTCAAAAGCGATCCTCGACGGCGGCGTCAATGGTCCCGAACATCCGCTGGGTCCATGTCCGTCTTGGTGAAAGAAAAGGCTTTGAAGTTGGAGGGCTGTGAGTCTCTCTAAGCCCAAAGGATTTTGGGGTGCCTTCTGAACATGGCGATGGGTGAAAACCTGGACCAAAAAAGAACCCTGTGATCTCCGCACGGTCCGGGCCGTCTGCTGTAGATTCGTCTCGAATTAGATGCGTTGTTTCACATGACAAATTGAGGATTTTCCAATTCAAAAGGTATTGTATCATCAAGAGTCCACCGGTCTGGGACGTTTCCATTCAGGTCCAGAGTCGAGGCAACGCGCCGTTCGCCATCGAGCGCTGGCTGGCCAGCATGCCCTCGTCCCGGAGCTCGGTTTTTCTCGGTTGCGGCTTCACATGCGTTGGTGGAGAGGGAGAATCCTAGAAAAGTCATCTCCTGCCCACGAAATCCATGAAATTATATGAAATTCATGAAAGTCATTAAATAGCTGATAGAAGGACATAGGGGTCCTTGGACACACCCCAAACCATGGTGGACGAACAGCATACTACACCGAAATCGCTCACTTGCAGAGAACAGTAAACATGGCTAGAACCAGAAGCATGGTCTTTCGCTCATCCACAAATCTTTTCCAAGCGATTCCGAACTTGCTGAAATGGAACGACAGAAACCTTTGACCCTTTAATTACCTTTAATTACCCAGCTGCTTCTCCATGATTCCCCTGTCGTTCGATGGTGATCGAAACAAATCAAACTTCTCAAGCCTGGAGATGGACCATCGAATGGTTAGAGAATTGTTTTTCATCCAGATGAAGTACCCACCGAAATGACTTCGAACCCAGGCGTCACGTGCCCTATGCCACCTTGGGTCACCATGCTGCGTCCTCAGACGGGTCGGACGGTGGGTGGGTCGCAACCTGCCGAAGGTCCGTGACTGGTGGAGCTCTGTTCAAACAGCCACCCTTCGTCTTGGCCTCGTGTGGTTGGGCCGAAGTAGAAGGTATTCGCCTGTACGGTGTAGGTATAACCTCGTGTTTTCGGTGTAACTGGGAGGCCTCGTGTATAGACCTTCTAAGTGCCGCCCTTTATACTTGCAAATCCAAGGTAAGCACTTGGGAAGTGTCACTGTAAGACCAGGACCTTGTAGTACTTTTCTCATGTCCCCTCCACGTCTTCCAACCACATTCTATGGTTGGTTGCAAATGTGGACATATGGGGAGGCTCACGAAATCCATGAGATTCCACTCTTGCATGACATACATTTACCATCATTTACCTAATTATTGCTATTTACTCGTCCAACCCATATGCCTGGGGGAAGTGTTCTTCTTCCCCTCATGTGATAGTCAATGGATTCCCCATGCTCAAGAGGTGTGTGATGGATCTCGCAAATAAGGTGAATGAACTCCATTCACCAAATCCCAGTAGGATCCCAGTCTACGTAGACTTGAGCAATCACTTAATGTATAGGCCTCTATTGGGACAGTGAGACAATGGGACAGTCGAACACTGCAGGGTTGATTTCGGCATTGGGCAACAACTTAATGTAATTTCTCCTCTCAAAAGCCTTTCTCAAACCTTTACCAATGCGTGACAGGTCATCGGTGAGCCTGGATCCACGCCTCCTGCACTGGAGGATCGTTTCTGGCGTGGAACTTTCCCACTGAACACTGGTGGCATTTAGACAGCATGCGGAGCCGTAGACAGTGGTTGTGTGACTGTGGCTAGAAAGGTCTTCCAATTGTGCAAGAAACTCAGGCACAATTTCTCGAACAAATACGAAATGATAGTTCCTTCAGCGACGCTCTGATAGTGCTGAGTTTATCGCCCCGGCCGCCACATTGCGTGCTCATAAAATGGCTGAAAAATGGCTACCTGTCCTCTAAAGTTCTGCGTTTGAGGCTTCCTTGCTTCTCCGGTCTCCCTTTCGCTGCCTTTCAACACCCTTCCTCCCCTTCTCTCCCATTTCTTCGTTGCTCCTAATTTGGCACAACTCAGGGGTGCATATGGGCTCGTGCCCCTAAAATGCTGTAACTAGGAGCGTTCGGACGCTACTAGGGGCTCCTGGCCTTACTACTAGGAGCGTTCGGACGTTATCTTCCGGAGTTCACTTCATCTTCCGCCACACCACGTCGGAGGAGCGCCCCTCGTCCTCGTGCCCCTCGTCCTCGCCGGCGGACTGTCCTGCGTGGCGGCCGCGGAGAGGGATGGACTTAGCAGCCTTGGTGCAGAGGCCGCAGCCTGGGCGACCGAGATCTCGCTGACTCGTGGTTGGCGACCGGTGGAGAGATGCTGACTCAATTGATTCAATTGACTCCAGTTCGGCTCATCAAAGGGTTCAAAGTTCGGTCTCATGTGGGTTGTGCCAAGTTGACGTTGCCAAGCTGGAAGGTTCACTTGCCAGAAGGTCGAAATGCAGGACCCCCACGGTGTTCTGAAAAGCACAGATTTGTTTGTGGAAAAGGGGATGCCAGTTGGGATGTCCCAATGATGTACTGCAAGGCTTCGGACCGGAGTTCCAGCCGGTCTTCTCTCTCTCTCTCTCTTTCTCTTTGTGTCAAAATTTGAGGGGAAACCCAATGGAACCCTCCGACGAATGGGTATTCCCAATAGCTCTAAGTGAGAACGGGCGGTTACTGATCGTCACTTTGATTCCCCAATTCCACAGTGGCACTGGATATGATCGATATATATATATATACTTTGCACTACCGAGTTGGGACTTGTGAAATGACTTGTGCAACAAACAACCCATCTCATAATTGGCACAACTCCTAACTCATTTGGGGGTGTTGTTCAGTCAATCTTTCTTCTTTTTGAGGAAAGTTGGAAAAACTGTTCAGAAATCCATGGAGGATTCTGCAGATTCCCCAAATCTCCCAACTATCGGCATACTTTGACATGGAAGTGGATGACATCACCCCTTCCACGGAGAACTGAGTCTGAGGGGCTTGAGAGCAGAAATAGGGTGAGACCTGACACCACGGAAGAGACAGCCCTCGGCGCTAGAGGCGACCGGCACAAGTTTCAACGCCTGATTCGACCTTTCGATGTCCTCTATCATCATCGCCCAGACAAGGAGACACCCCAATTAGATTCCCAACTGCAGAATGCAGGCCTTACGAAACCAGAATCCAACCCTGGAACCTTGGAGCCCGTGCTGTGGTGCTGTGATCAGACTCCCACCTTGGTTCCCTGGGTGCTGGCAGACTTGCTGCGATCAGACTGCCACCTTTGGCAGGCTTGCTGAAAGGTGGGCGGCGAGCCCCGGCCCTCTCGGCGAGCTCGGCCCTTTCGCTTTTCAGGCAGCCAAGCAAAGGCTTCATACTCTTCTGGGAAAATGGGCGAAACACACCACTCTGCAAGGCCTCACCAAGCGGCCTCCATCGACGATGGAGGCCTTGACAGGTGTCTGCGCAACAGAGCAGGCAGCCTTGACAGGTCTTTGCCAGCTTCAAGTTGGCGTGATCGCTTGCTTTCCCACGTGATCGCTGGGCTTAATGGCCTCGGTAAGCGCTACAGGAACACAACAAGCTGCTTCGAACACTCCGACTCTGTGACTGAGTGCTTGCTAACACGGGAGCAGGCACTGCACATCAGAACTGCAAACATGTTGTTGCTGGTCTAAAGGCGTGTTGCTAGGCACGCGGAAAATACCTGCCACACTGCTGTGCCAAAATATTGCTGCGTATCAACGGGGACATAAAGCACACCACAAGTGCAAAAGCTGTTGCCCGCAAAGAACGTCTTGCTAGGCATGCGCAACTGCCTCTCAACAACAACAGAAAGCTGCGCAAGTACAACAACTATTGCCGGTATGAAGGCACAGTACTGAGAGTATGCAGTGCTCTGGTGGCGTTGGAATGCATAAAACATGGCATTACTACACGCCAAGAACGCTCAGCACTGCAAACACCATGCGCGGAACTACTACTGCCAAGGCCTTCCCTTTCCCCGGCCAAGTCATGGTGGTCTCCTGGCCAGGATGTGCCCAGGATCTGTGGGACCTTTCACCGCCGCGCAGGTCGCGCGAGGAGCACACCCAAGAGCGTGTTCGGAGCGCCCTTTGGGCGCGGACGGAGGCGACTTCGGTCCACGGCGGTGGAACGACTGGACGACTGGGACGGAAAGAGGGGAAGAAGGACCTGAAAGAGGGTCTTCACCAAAATTTCCAACCATAAAAGGTCCAATAGGTCATAGATTCTCCTAACGCTGCTGGTTTCTAGGGTAATGTTTGCCTCACGAGCGAACCGTGGGCCTGCCAAATGAAGTGCCTCGTGTTTTTTTCTCCTGTTGAGAAGGGTGGGGGCACTGAGGAAACTGAAACTGCTCATTCGCCCAGTTGTTGGGATGGGAGTGCTGAGCCGAGACTGGCAGACTGGGCCATTCAGACCGCAACAGAGCTGTGCAAACGGTAAAGATCCAAACTGGTTGTCCTTGTTGGCATTTCTATCCATTCTCCATGCCTTGGTTCGTTTCCAAGCCTGGAACCCACCCCAAGCGCTTAAAACCACCGATGTCTCCCACAGGACTTCTAGCGCTCAGCGCGAGATATGAGATACTGTAGATCAATCTGTTGAGCAGTGGAGCCTTCTTTGGGGTTCTGTATATAGAGGCCTTATGAAGTTATGGTTTGCCCTAAGTGCCAACATGTGTTTCTTCTTTTCAGAGTTTGTTCGATGCTCAGGAGTGTGTTTCTTTGTCCTGAAAGCTCCTTCCATGTTTTTGTGCGGAGGCCAGGATGATGCGACCTATCTCCACAGGAGATTTGAGGACCTGAGCGTCGGCGCAGTACCAGCCCTCTGCTCCACAGGTCTCTTGGGAGAAATTTGGCAGACTTGACCCCATCCTCCAGCATGAAAATCTAACTTTTTCCATCTTTCTATACACCCAAAAGCATTTTGTTTGGTAGCCAAATAGCAAATTTCAGGCATCCCACCCTGGCTCATTAAGCCACCAGGTCCACTGCTGTCCTCACAGCGCATTTGTTTAGTGCTGGTAACCTGCAAAGCAGAAGGAGCCAGCCACGTTGTTTGACGGTTCTCCCACAACACTGGGTCCCCAAGCGGCCCTGTTTGTGAGCTCAAGCGCACCGTGCAGTGGCGGGTTAAAACATGCTCAGGGCTCGAATGATCTTTGCGCAACTATAGGATGAACGACATCGCGACTAAGACTAAATCAAGTAAAGACACCATGTGAACCCACAGTGAGAAGTTGAGTGCTTATGTCTCTAGCAAGAAGCTACTAGTTACTTGTAGCAAGGTGCCTTACTAGTAGTGTGAGCAACGTCCAAGATGTTCAGAACCGGGGCTTCTTTCGGGTGGGGCACCCACGCACCGGTCTGAACACGAAAGACCGGCGGTGCGAACGCTGAGACGACGATGTGATGGTCCTGATGCCAAGGTGTTTCCGCCCATGTCCTCCACTCATTGGGTTGATGGGTTACTGGGCGCTGAGTCACCCTCATTGTCATTGGCCGCCAGCTGAGGAGTAGCCGGAGCAGCAGGAGTCGAGAGAGGAGTCAACATGCACCATGGAAGCAGCCAATGGAGCACCATTGAAGCTGCTCAGATGAAGTCCACGCAACATCTGCAGTCCACACACACTTTTCAACAAACAAGACACTTCCCCTTTGAAAGGTGTTGGTGCAAGACGGCAAATGAATTTATACGTCTAAAACGTGAGCCCTAAGGTGATTGTCCATGTAGCATGGCGTCCCACGCAACACATGGAGCTGGATTCACTGTGGAGGCCACGAAGAAAGGCCAGTGTGGACAGACTGCAGCGGACAGACTGGGCATCAGACTGAGCATCTATAGGGATCACCTTTATGCGACCAAAGCCTTTGGTATTGTTTCTTGAAGGAGTTGATGCCCCGGGGGGACACTGGGGCACCCACTGATCGCATGATGCAGTGTGGGGTAGAGTCTGATTTTCATCTTTCCAGAAGACAACTAGGGACTAGGCATCCATGATGTATTGGCTAGAAAAAGCGGGAATAGGAGGCTTCCCAATACTTCGGAAATTCGAAGGTTGTATTCATGATTCTGGAGGTGTCAGCATTGTTGCAAAGAACCAGCCTCGCTTTCCCCGCTCCGCCAGGGGCCCTGCCGATCAAAGTGGAATCGCGGGCGAAGGGGAAGAAGGTGGGTACCTTGTGGGCGAAGCGGAGTGGATCGGTCTTTTTTTGTATCAAAAAGGATCCTTCAAGAAGACTCACTTTGTTCTGAATGGGGAGCAGACAGGGGTTCACCACCTTGTGTCCCATCAAGCTATCTATCAAATTACTTGGTGATTTGGGGCCATTCCATTAATTAGTAACTGTTACGCCATCAGTCATCACCACTTTGACCAGAAACAAGCTTGCTGCAGGGCCTTGTGACTCTTTCCATGTTCCAAGTTATTTCACAACAGCAACAAGGCTCTGTTTTTGGGGAGGGCTTTCCACCACCCTGAACGAGCTGCTCCCTGTGCCGAACCAACAAGGCAACGAGCTGCTCCTTGTCTCGGCTCGTCTCGGCCAGGTGACCATCATCTCAGGTGTGCGTGGCAATGCGCAGTGCCTTGGAGATTCGGTCGGCGGTGCGATCGACTCGTTTTTCTTCGGTGACCGGTGGTGAGAGATGAAGATGCGGAGAGATCCGGAGAGAAAGGACCTGAGAGATCCGGAGAGAACTACGCACGTTCCTGAGTTCACCCAAGAAGATGATGGGATATCGTCACCTCACAAATCTGGAGCCCGTCCGCGCCATTTTGGAGCGACTCATTGCGCAATGGTTGTTCTTCACTGGTGAAGAATGACCTAGCTGCCTAGCTGGGTGGGAAGAAGACAAGTTCACCCAGCTGGGTGGCTGTAAGAGATCCTGCGTGCTTTTCTCAACTCATTGTCAGAGGGTACGACGTACCTTTTTTTGGCAAAAGCTGATCACATCCGAGGCAACCATCGAATTCAGGAACACCTTGGGACATCAAGAAATGTAGAATCTTGATGTGTAAATCGCCCTAATCATTGGGATTGCGGGTTGTTGTCTGCGCGTCATCGGTCCTAAGCCGGGCCACCGGTGTGGGTGGTCCGGCTTGGCCGTTTGGGTGGAGACTGGAGACAGGTGGAGACAGGTGGAGACAGGTGGAGACAGATGGAGACAGGTGGAGACAGGTGGAGACAGGTGGAGACCGGAGACAGGTTTTCTCTTGTATCAATGGTTTTTAACTCGGGAGAGATGCAGATTGGATGGAGGGATTCCTCAGACCTCTGAGCCTTTTCACCCAATGCAATCCTTGAGGGAAGAACATGCAGGGTATGGCATAGGCATAGGGGTCAAAGATTTATCCTCTTGGATCCTTTTGGCACGTGCTTTTTGGATCCTTTTTGGAACGCCGCAAAGGAGGAACCCAGAAAAAACCATCCCACTTTTGAGAAACACCTTGTGATCTTATGGTTTTCTGATTTTCTATGGTTTTCTCCTGTTTTCTCATCAAAATCCGGTCCGACCGCCACTCCTTCAGGTTATTGTGCTCGACTCTCAGCACCCTTCTTGGGATTGGTGGCACCGTTCACAACGAAGCCGGACAGCAAGTCATCCAAGTCCAAGGCACTTGGGCCGCGCAAACTGGTTGTCGTTCGTCTGTTTCGCATCAGACGCCGTCATACGCCATCACAGGCCGGAACCTGACCACACTAATTCCGGACTCTTGGGCAGGTTGGCCAAAGCAGTCTCTTGAACTACCCGGTGTGCAGGTCGGCGGAGTTCGGTCCCACCATTTAGAGGTTGGATGCCCTCCGACATGAGACGACCCAACTTTCAAAGACCCCGGAGAAATATGAACAGATGAGAGCACCCACCAGAAAAAGCCTCCTGCCGGGATTGGTCGTCCGTGAAGCAAGAAACAAGGCAAAGGGGCAAAGGGGGCAGCACTTGTAGGGGAGTGAACATGGGTGGTGCAGGGTTTCTTTCATCAACTGAACAGTTAACAGAACAATCGAGATGAATCCCCAGATGGGTGTTTGCCATCCTTGCCGATTGATGAGCGAAGCTCCTGAAAGAGTGATGTGACAATCTGTGCAACAGTTTCTTGAAGAACATCTTTTCGGTCAACGAATGGGGATGGGCTGTTGCTGCTGTGGTTGGGTCTCATTCCTCCTCTTGGGTGAACGTACGCAGCTCTTGAAGCTTTACTGGAAACGAGAAGGCTTTTTCAAGGGATGCACTGTTTTGTTCGCGTGAAAAGGAGAGGAAGAATCAGAGCAGGCGCTTTCAAGCGAGAAACTGGTCCTTTGGATCAGACCGGGCTCTGAGATCGTTCCCACAACGATTTGGAAGACGTGAGATGAACAAAACCCTACACAGCCACCAGGTCCCATTTGTGGTCACCAAAAAGGTGAAGCTTCCGTGAGGTAGTCAGGCTGACCCCGTTGCAGAAGCACTGGGTAAATTGAATTGCTTGAAAGGCAGGGACCAATGACTGGGGGAAGGTCGCCATGCAGGGCAGCTAAAGACATGACCTGTGAAAAGGGCATGAACACGGTGAGGATTAGTTCTCCAGTTGCAACAAACAACAGTTGGTAGTGGGCAACAACTGCTGGACAAAGCAAGTCTTTGAGACGAAGAATTCTGGAGGGTCAACCAACCCTGCAGTCAGGTTGGTATTTCTTGGGGGCTGCACCTTAGGAGTTTGTGAGCTTGCTAAGTCTATCCAAGTCTGTTTTTTGGTGCAGCCGTGTCATGTCCGAGTCATGAGGAGCAGCCGAGTCATGACCATACCTCATATCCTCATTTGCCCGTTTGCTTGGAACCCCGGCAAACACTGTTTGATCGTTGCCTGCAAAGATTCTTGGCACATGCTTGGACTCCTCCCATTCTTTGGGTGACTGGTGTCACAACCCTTCTTTGAACCGGCACAAAACACGGGCCACTTGCACAGAGCAGCGCTTCGCTGAGGGACGGCTTTTCATCGGTCAGAGTTGGACATGCGAAGACGGTCAACGAATGAAGACGGTCGCAAAAACGATGGACGGATCGATGTATCACCTGGATCGATACATGTGGATTTCGGAATGCACCCACGTGGAAACGAATTCGGTTCCGTTGTTCCGGATTCCCTTTTGGACCCGAACAGATCCCCAAAGCCCAATTCGTGAGCCCATTGGGCCAGGCTTTGGGATCTCGGGCAAAACGGTCACCACCTCCACAAGTCCTGGAAAACACGCCATTTTCGACGGTGAACAAAGGTCTTTCGGAAGATCGCTCGGGCGCGTCGAAGTGACGAACATCAAAGAGCTGCAGGTCCGTCTGCAGGTCCATGGATTTTGAGCCACATCCACTGCTGGGTCCAGGTGCTCTTGTGGGTGTGTATTTTTGATAGGGAGACTTCCTGGCATTGGTCTATATATTTCCCTTCTTCCAGGGATCCAAAGGGGGTCGGTCGCCCTATTTTATGGAGCTTTTGGCAGATGGGCCCCATGACCGAGCTTCGGCGTCAGCCCTCCCTGAAGACCACTGGAAGTGGCAGTCTCAATACACACCCATCAGGGGCACCCTCCAACAGGTGATTTGTGGACACCCCGAAGCACCTCTAAGAGATTAAACGACTACTTTTTAGACCCCTTGGAGTTTGGAGGGTCAAGCAATCTCCACGTGGGCGAGGCGTGAAAGTCGATCAGCCGAAGAAGCCAGCGAAACAAGCTGAGGCCGGGGATGGCGAGGGATGGCGCGGGGCAGGTGGATGAGATGATTCTGGGTGCTGCCTCGAACGTGAGTGCAAAGACGTTGGTGGTGGCTTTTTGAAAAGCACAATCCGCATCTGCTGGTATTCCGCTGGCATTCTTGGGAGGCTCCAAGAAACGATGGGGAAGGTCCAAGAGCCGTGGAATGACCGGACTTCTTAGGCTTTTTGCATCTGAGGGTGTGGTGGGTAGGGGTCCAGATGCGGATGCGACTGGGACGCTAGATTGACCCGGAGCGTGGCTGGACTTTTTGGGGGGTGGAAAAGCAGGTCATGATGGTTTACAGTATATAAACTACATACACTGCGGGTTGCTATTGTTTCTTTTGCCTCCTATTTTGCAGAGATCACGCATAGACATAACATAGACCGGCAAATGCTTGGGTTCCATTTTTGCAGTCACTCATCAGATCGCCTCACTTGCACCCTTTTTTTTCTGAACTGCTGACAGGTTGCCACACGACACTGTGGCTATGACAAGTTTCTTCGACAAGAGACTTGGGACGAGAACCAGTCCTCTAGGGATCCACAGAGACAAAGGTATATGAAAGGGAGACCCTGTTAATTTTTGTTTTCCATGTGTTGAACAACATTTTTTAAACTTGTTTGTACGTTTACAGATGTTTACAATTGTAAGGGATCCGCCCCCTGCCGCCAACCCCTGAGCCCGGAGGCTTGGTAGCGGGGGAGCAAAAGAACAGCCAAAGGAATGAAACAGAAGCAGTCGGAAGCAAATAAGACAAGGACACCTGCTGAAGAAGCAGGATGCGCTGCAGAAGCGCTGTTTTTGTTTTATTTGCTTCGGACTCGCACTGGCTCCAAGTAGTGGTCGGCGGCACGGGGAGGGAAAGGAACAGGAAACAAAGAGGAACCAAAAGGAAATGAACAGGAACGAAAAGAGGAAAGGGAAACGAAAGCGGGGCAAGAGGAAAGGAACACCAAAAGGGAAGGAGAAGGAAGTGAACAGGAAACAAAAGGAAGTACCCGGAATTCCGGAGAAGATGAAGAGGGACGGAAGGGAAACGAAAAGGAGTCAAAAAGAAAGCATCCGGAGACGAAAGATACGAAAGGATGTCAAAAGGAAGCAAAAGGTAAGGATATGAGAAGGAAACCAACGGAAACAAAAGGAAAGGAGCAGGAGGCAAAGATAAGCAAAAGGAAGGCAAAAGGAATGAAGCAGAAGCAGTCTGAAGCAGTCTGAAGACAAAGACACAGACGCAGTCTGAAGCAGGATGCGCTGCGCTTCAGCGCGGTCGTCTGTTCTCACTTGCTTCGGAAGAAGCGCGGTCGGCGGCACATACCTTCTTCGATTGGTGCCAGGCTCGCGGGGTGTGGTGGGAGGCCACGCTACTGGGGGCTCCTGGCCGTACTAATTACTAGGAGCACGAACTTTCCGAGTTGGTGAAAGGTGAGCTTTGGCTTGGTCAAGGAGAGAAACCACGCAGATGGTGCAGGAGGATCAGCGAACGCAGCTTTTTGGCTGTATTTGAGTGGGAGTTAGAGCGAAGCGTCTGGGTCGTGCCAGGAAAGCTTTCCAACAGCAGTACTACGTACTACATAACGGAAAGTTCCGTCTTCCTATTGGTTCCGCTTGATGGTCTTTCGATTCCTTCGATTTGCGTGATGACTGTGGTGAAGGAAGGTCAGAAGGTTTTCAGAGTTGATGAAAGTGAGCTTTGCCTTGGTCAAGGAGGCAAACCGCGCAGACGGCGCAGGAGGATCTGCGAACGCAGCTCTTGGCTGTCTTTGATTGGGGGTTGGAGCGACGCATTTGGTTCGTGTCAGGAAAGCTTTCCAACAGCAGTACTATGTAGTACATCACGGAAAGGAAAGTTCCCTTAGACGCTTGATGGTCTTTCGATGCCTGTGATTTCCGTGTACGGAGGCCCAAGAAGGTGGAGCGGTCCCAATCATCAGGATTTCGTTGCAGTTAGTCGGACTTCTTCCACCAGGTCCTTTGGAATGCGTGCCCTAGATGGTGCCACACCCCCGACAGTCATCTCATCAACATCCGAAACCGAAACCTTCCCTTCTTTTCACATATGAGTCCACTGGGCACGATCGATTGCCGCCTGTCGCCTCAGAGCACCGTGCGGCGTTTCTGCATCTCCGCGTCGTGGATGCAATGAGTCTGTCGGAGCCCTCGATTCCACGAACTTGAACGCTCCCTCTAACTCCACGTCTGAATTATCTTCACGAATATTCGCACCAACATCCTTGCCCACGTGTTCATTTACCCAGCTCCCATGCCAAAACCAGTTCCATCCAAGCAGCTCCCTTTGAAGCTCCTCGAGCTTCCGCTGGACAGCCAATGCGCGAGGAGCAAAAAGCTCGAAGAAGAAAAGAAGAGGGCCCGCAGCGTCAGAAGGTCTCTCCGTTGCGCAACGAATTGGATTGGACGGGCTTCACCCACCGGCCCTTCGCAACGCACACGGTCTCTTCGGTCATGAGGATGATGTGGTGGCGATGGTGCAGGAGATGCCGTGATGATGTGGGCGCGGGGAGGGTTTGGGTCACCAGAACCCCGATCACTTCTGAGGGATGAATCATAACTTGCTTTTATATAGTGGTATTTTTGTATTTTTTTTTGGCCGTTTTTCCCTCAAAACTAAAAAAGTCAATTTGGATGCAAAATCAATTTTCAATTCTCGTTTACCTTTGAAGAAATGTGTTCATGTCATGCTTCACCTAAGCAGCAGCGCACAGAGGCAAATCAAGTAACGCACGCTAGATATTAATAATCTATCATTCACTGCACCGTTTTTGGAATGTGGTTGCTGTTTCAAAGCTCTAACTTTTCAATGAGCACCTCAAACTCGTTTGAGCCTTCCACATTCCTCGTCTACGCACAAGAAAATTATTTTTCACATTTGTGAAGATATTTGGCTTGCTCGTTGCTCCTTTGGGCCATTAATCTCACCTAGTGTAACTTCAGGGTGCGTCGCCCCAGGTGCCCAGGCCTTTGGCTGCTTCGGCCAAGGCCTGTGCACTTGTCATGACGCTATGTGAGAAGGATTCTGCATACAAGAAATGGAAGCGCTTATGCGACAAGTGGACTCATGAGTTTCTGTTTTGAGCCCACATGATCCTGAAGGTGGGTCATGGCTGTCAGACCAAGAGCAACCGTGGGGCATTGGTTGCAAAGCATGCAGCTTCAGCAAATGCAGCAGTAAGTTCGCTATGTATGCTGTCAGAGAGGCAGGCTCCCTGCAGCATGAGAACTTAAAAAAACATGCGCGTACCAAGGCTCGCAAACTCTCAATGGGTGGCACTACGCTTGGCTGCTTGGCTTCCTGGCTGATGCGGCCAGAAGCTATTTTGGCAGCGAGTCGACTAAGGTCAGCTTCCTGGCTGATGCGGCCAGAAGCTTTTTTAGCAGTGAGTCAACTAAGGTCAGCTATGGGGAAAACAATCCAAGTTTTGCACCAAAGCCCTGGTTTTCCTAACTTCAGTCAAGTCGTCATCCATGTCCAGCTCGGTATAGTGTTTGCTTTCAGCTTGGGGCTCAAATTTGAGGCTAAGTAGTTAACACTTAAAAGAGTTCAATGGCTAGCTCCTTTGCAGCGCTCATGCCTGTGACAAGTCGCGCTGAGAAAAGTTCACACGAAGAAACTCAGTTTCTGCACTTTGCAACCATGGAGCCGTCAGAGGTTGCTTCTGGCTTTTCCTTTGTTCCAAGTCCTTGACCGGGTGGAACGCACAAGAAATGCCCTACTCTGGACTTGGCAACAATTGCCTGAAGAAGCAGCGGATGCGTTGGAAGACATTGTTTTTGCTTTGGATATTTGCACCACAATCGCGTTGTCCGACCTTCACTCGCGACCAAAGCACAGAATCATGACTGCTCTTCCTGCGCGTGCGCCAGGCAAGACACTGGCATTGAATAACTATGTCAAAAATGACTTTTGGCACGCTACTGAAGTGATGGCAGCATTGTCACAAAGTCGGGCGACTCACGACCGCTTCGACTGGGACACTATGTTGGAGACTTGGTTTGGGGATTTTGCCTTTGCAGTGCAGATCGCACCTGACTCCCTTTATTTGAAGACTGGCAGCTTCAAAAGTGGGATCGTGTGGCCTAAGGCTGCAGCACGCCTTTCCAAAAAGAGCAGGCTGGGCTAACTTCGTCGCAGCAGCCGTTACTTCCATTGGCTGCTTCGGCCAAGGTTGCAGGGTTTGTTGTAGGCTTGAGGTTAAGTCACTGGCTGCTTCGGCCGGGGCTTGCTAATTAAAAAATCTTAGAAAGTTGGAAGCGGGCAAGGCGCGAGCTGACTTCTCAGCTCGAAGGTGAAAAAATCGACGACAGTGCTTGAAAGGAGAGGGCGGTTTGACCTCTCCACCCGAGCTTCGGGAACGTTCTTGAACCTCGAAAGGAGAGGGTTTTGAGAGGGCGAAACAAAAATACCACTATATAATATAGTTTTGCCCATAGTTGTCCCCTCACTGCCCTCTCCACCCGAGGCTCGGGAACGTTCTTGAACCTCGAAAGAAGAGGGCGATTTGCCCTCTCTTCTCAGACTTCAAATTGCTCGTTTGCAGCCGTTTTTCACTCAAGTGAAGCAAGTTTGAAAGCTTTAGCTGCTTCGGCTAAGCTACTCCACAACGGCCAAGACTCCATTATGTTGGCAGCTCAACAGGTGACCTCATTCAGGGCGTGGCCCTTCCTAAGCTCACTGATGAATGGAGCATGAAGTGGTCGGAGAAAAAGGATCTGTATGGCAAGCGCCACTTGATCGCGGTGGGCGGGCGCACAGAAGGTGGAGAGGATGAGCCAAAAATCAACGACCGAACCAAAGATTTGCCCGAGCCTGTTTGCTACTTCTCGCCACCGCTTGAGCTGATGGAGGAGCTCCTGCACACCTTCTATGCCAAGCTGGTGCTGGACTTGAGCCCAGCTGATGGAAAGTTGGCGTGGGCATGCGTCAAGACTAGGACTGCGTACATGGGCATCTGCTACATTGACACCCATGTCAAGCGGATGGAAGAACGGCTCCTGGACCTAATGAAGGTGAGCGTGAAGGAGACTGCCTCGCCATTGTTCAACAGTGCCTATGCGCAAGCTGTGGGGTCAACGACTTCTTCATCGCAGCCAGCGATCCCGAAGCGCAAGCCACGCCCCAAGCCAAAGGTAAAGTCGGCTCCCAAGCCAAAGCCAGCTCCCAAGCCTAAGGGAAAACCAAAGGCGGAGGCAAAGTCAGAGCCCAAGTCGAAAAAGCCGCGTCTCGAGGCAGAGCAGGCAGATGACGACGACAATGAAGAGGAGGAAGAGGCATTCGAGGAGGATGTTTGGGATCCTTTGGACGAGGGGTGAGTGGCCTTTGGCTGCTTCGGCCAGGGCCAACACCGTCTGCTGGCTGCTTCGGCCAGCGTTTTTTGAAACTTGCTGGTGCGGAAAAATTATTAGGTGTCTGGGTCTGGGTTGATAATTGAGGTCAGTCATGTGTGCTTAAGTTCGCAAGTTGCAAGTAAAGGATAATTGAATGGTTTGGCCCA